GACTTTCTTTTTTTTCCCCTTCTAATTTTATTTTCCTTTCCCTCTGCCTGTTCTGTTCTGTTCTGTTGTTCTGTTCTGTTCTATTCTATTCTATTCTATTCAAAATTCTATTCTGTTTTATTCTATTCTTTCATTCTCTATTCTATTGCATTCCACTCCATATTCTCTTCAACAGGAATGCTTCTGCCCCCTAGTGGCTGTCTGAAGAATTGCAACCTGCATCTGACCGCCCAATTTGATGCGATAAATTGAGAGAGACACATCATCAATCCGATTTCATGATGCTGATTGTAGACTGAACACAGACTTTAGGTCGTCCTTGATGTACAGCAGGGGTGTCAAACACAAGGCCACAACAGTGGTGGGATTCAAATGTTTTTACTACCAATTCTGTGAGCATGGCTTGGTGGGAAGGTTACTGCAAAATCCCCCTTCCCTCCTCAGCCCATTAACCTGCTTTCCAGCTCTGTTCTCCTGTGCAGGGCAACCAAAGAAGACCCAGCCAATCAGCTGGGACTCGGGAGGTGGAGAATAGATATGGGGGCGGGGCCAGTCAGAGGCGGGATTTGCCGGTTCTCCCAACTACTCAAAATTTCTGCTACCGGTTCTCCAGAACTGGTCCAAACCGGCTGAATACCCACCTCTGGTTTATTCCCTTTGTTCTTGTTTATGTTCATACCTATGCTTGTTATCTAGTACGTGTTTGACAAAAACAAACAAGCAAATGAATAAAATACATATTCCCAACTCACTTGTAATCGCGCTCCCAAAATTTGACTGGCCGAGCGTAAGACATGATGAAGACGGCGCTGCCCAGCAACGGGTTGAGAGGCGTGGAGAACAACGCAGAGAGAACAGCCTGGAGGAACAGCATGGCTGAATCTGGACCCGGGCAAGGGTTAAGGACACGTCAAACAAGCCAGAGATAACCCAGGTTTTATTTCCAAATCTCTGTTATAGGCAGAAGGAATGAGCTGGAGAGAGAGATCTGAACCCAGGACAAGTGCTTCCCAACCTTGACAACTTTTAAGATGGGTGGACTTAATTCTTCACGGCTGGCTGGGGAATTCTGGGAGTTGAAGCCCAGCCATCTTTTCTTTTCTTTAAAAAAAAAATAGTTTATAGTATAAAATAAAAAAGTATAAAGGGAAAAATAGGAAAGGGGAAAGAAGGGAAGAAAGAAAGAAAAGGAATTGATTTCTGACTCCCTTTGGTGCAGGAGAATAAGATAATAGCATCAAAAATTTTTTTTCCCCCCTATTCTTTATTCAAAGCAATCAATTGAGCCATCTCTGCTCATTCCATCAACTTTTGCAGACAGAAGTCCAACCATCTTAAAGTTGCCAAAAAACTGGGTTAAAAAAAAGAAAGAAAGCTGAGTCCAGGGCAGAACTGTAACCTTAAAATTCCTTCCTTCCATCATTCCTTCCTTCCCTCTTGCTCCTTCCTTTCTTCCCTCCCTCTTGCTCTTTCCCTCCCTCTCTTGCTCCTTCCTTCATTCCTTCCCTCCCTTTCTTGATGCTTCCTTCCATCCCCCCCTCTTGCTCCTTCCTTCCTTCCCTCCCTCCCAACCTCTCCTTCCTTCCTTTCTCTCTCCTCTCTCCCTCCCTCCCTCCCTTGCTTCCTCCCTCCCGCAATCCCTTCCTTCCTTCCTTTCTCGGCTTCATAAATAAATACATAAACACACAAACAAATAAACAAATGCTGTCTTCAAAATTTCTCGAGGCCCCGAGTTCCACAGGTTAAATGTTCCTTTGGTTTTAGCAAATTCCTTCCTCCCCGTCTCGGAAAAGGATACGTGGCACGGCAAAGGGCTGGGCAAAGGCGTGGAAGGCGGAGCCCCAGGTGATCTGCCACGGGGCGATGTAGGTGAGGACGAACCGGAGCTTGTACAACAGGTCCCACAGCTGGGGGAAAGAAACGATGAAAACCACAGAGAGGGTAGAAAAAGAGAAAGTTGAGGACTGCCTGTATATCCACAAACCCCAAGCATAGCTGGATAATCTCTGCAGGCCACTTGGTCTCTTCCTCCTAGATCAGGGACCTCCAAACTTGGCAACTTTTAAGACTTGTGGACTTCAACATAGCTGGCTGAGGAATTCTGGGAGTTGAGGTCCACAAGCCTTAAAGTGGCCAAGTTTGGAGACCTCTGCCCTAGACCATTTCAATCAGAACAGAAATGGAAGGGACCTTGGAGGTCTTCTAGTCTAACCCCTTGCTCAAGCAGGAGACCTTAGACCAGAGGTCTCCAAACTTGGCAACTTTTAAGACTTGTGGACTTCAACTCCCAGAATTCTCCAGCCAGCATAGATGGTAGCCCTTCTGTGCATGGTCCTCCAAGAAAAAGAGTTGGAAGAAAGAGAGGCTAAAGAGAGAGAGGGGGTGGAAGTGGTGGATGGCTGGCTGGAGAATTCTGGGAGTTGAAGTCCACAAGCCTTAAAGTTGCCAAGTTTGGAGACTTCTGTTCAAGACACAAAGAGGAGGGGAAGAGGCCCAAACCAGCACGCACCTTGCTAAAGAGGATCGACATGATGAAGTAGTCGGTGAGAAAACCCTCCGAATATTGTTTGTAGTCGAACTGGAAGAAGAGGACGGTGAAGCCCAGGGTGACGTACTGCTGTGGGGGGCAGCAGAAGGAACTCCGCAGAAGTTTCATGCCGGCCACCGTGAGGAGAAGAGCTCGGCACCTGGGGTCGGATTAGGGAGAGGAAAGATAGTGACAATTATTACCAATCCCTCTCTTAAAGAGACAAGAAAGAAAGAAAAGTTTTGAAAGATTTGCTCCCTTCCATTTATTGTGGAAGGGGTCAGCAATAGAACATAACAGAAAAAAAATAGAATTAGGAATAGAATAGAATATAGAATAGGATGTATATAAAAATAGAAGAGAAGAGAATATAAAATATAGAGAATAGAATGGAATGGGACTAGGACGAGGACTAGAACAGAATATAGAATAGAATAGAATAGAATAGA